CCCAACGTCTTACAGGAAGACTCCCCTCATCACGTGCTTATGTTCTCAGTCCTAGTGAGTGACGTGAGCTGAGGCGGGGCTGCGACCTCTGAGTCCGTGTGACACAGCCCCGTGGTTGCCCCTCTTTCCTTCATACCAATACTGGAGCTCTGACGGACAGACTGATAGGACGAGACACAGTACAGGGTAGATCTAAATGGTACATGATAAACTGAGTAATCTCTAATAAAATCTACATCCTGTAAACAGGGAATATACTTAAAAAAAATCCTGGATATTAAAAATTAAGGAAGGATAATAAACTTCCCACAGTAATATAATACACATAACATTCTCTGATTCTGATACCAAAAAAAATGAGAATAAAGCAATCAGAAAACAATACCAATACCCACACCGAATCTGCTATTATTTGGTAAAACAAAAACAATACATAGCAAAAAAAGGAAAAAAGCCTTCTTTTATACATCTTGTGGGTTAAGGAGGAAATAAAAACAAACTTCAGAACACCTGGAGTATAAAAGTAATGACAAAGTGTTCTGGCCTATTTAAGCAGTACTCAGAATTAAGTTATGACCAATCTAGACAGCATATTAAAAAGCAGAGACATTACTTTGTCAACAAAGGTCCATCTAGTCAAGGGTGTGGTTTTTCTAGTAGTCATGTATGGATGTGAGAGTTGGACTATAAAGAAAGCTGAGCGCAGAATTGATGCTTTTGAACTGTGGTGTTGGAGAAGACTTTTCAGAGTCCCTTGGACTGCAAGGAGATCCAACCAGTTCATCCTAAAGGAACTCACTCCTGAATATTCATTGGAAGGACTGATGTTGAAGCTGAAACTCCAATACTTTGGCCACCTGATGCGAAGAGCTGACTCATTTGAAAAGACCCTGATGCTAAGAAAGATTGACAGCAGGATGAGAAGGGGATGACAGAGGATGAGATGGTTGGATGGCATCACCAACTCAATGGACATGAGTTTGGGTAAACTCTGGTAGTTGGTGATGGACAGGGAGGCCTGGTGTGCTGCAGTCCATGGGGTTGCAAAGAGTCAGGCACGACTGCGTGACTGAACTGAACTGAACAGAATTAAATCTCATATTAATAATTAAGAAAAAAAATGATCAAATTGAATGCTAACAAGGAGTTAAAACAACAACAAAATAAACTAAGGAAAGCAAAAAGTAGGACATTTATTTAAGGAAATCAATTAATTGGAAAACAGAAAAATAATAAAAGAGACACTCAAAGCATACCACTTGGGGGGAACAAGCAAACAAAAACAGCAAATTAGGTCAACTACTAGCTATCTTAATTAAGAAAATAAGGAAGCAAGCGTAATACATACTAAGGGGAAAGAGCCATACACACAAAAGAGGAAGGGGTAACTCTGCTCACCACTGGGGAAATTAACTTGAAAACCTTGACAATATGGATGGTTGACGGTCCTAGCTAAGACACAGAAACTACACACACCAGTTACCATAAATACCAAAAGAGTTGTTAAAGAGCTATTTGCCAAACATTGACCAGCACCAGACAACTTCACTGAAATCTTAAGGAAAATTCCAATGTTATGCAAACTGTTCCAGAACTCAGAAGAAAGAAAAATATTTTCAATTTACCAGCATAAAATCAATAACAAAGCTTCTTAAAGGTAGTGCACAAGGGTGCATGCACACACACACATATGACTAATTGCACTGATGAATACAGATGCAAATCTAAATAAAATATGAAATAATCTGGAAATACATTGAAAGAGTAATACATATGGTCAAGTAGAGTTTATTTCAGGAATTTAAGGATGGTACAAAATAATTAATAAAATTCATATTAAAAGGTCAAAGGAGAAAAATCATATGATTATCTCCATAGAAAATGAAAAGGCATGTGATAAAATTCAACATGCAATCTTCACTAATTTTTTTTTAAAATAGGGGTCAACAGATACTCCTTAATATGATTAATTAAATGTATATATCTCAACCCAGTTCATTATAGCCAATATATTTTAACATTATTCTAGAAATACTAGACAATGCAAGCAAGACATAAAAAGAGGTATGCAAACTGGAAGACATGATATAACTGGAAAACACAAAAATATTAAGTGAAGTACTATTAGAAACCATAAGAAAATCAGAGTCTGGTAGCTGAGTAGAAAACATTTTACCTTTTGTATATACTAAAATAAGACTAAATTATAAATTAAAAGGACTTCCTTAATGATGGTAACAAAAATAATAAAATTTCTTAGAACTCTTGAAGAACATTACAAGTTCTCAGTAAAGTAAAACGTGAAGCATCTTCAAAGGAAACAACAAAAAGACTTGAACAAATGGGAGCCATTTTTGGATGGTTTAGACAGAATTTTTAACATGATAATGATGTCAAATTTACCCAAGCTGATCTATAAAACTGTTGAAAAAAAAAAGTTCTATGGGTTTGTTTGGTGGAACACAAGGGCTGGTTCTAAAGTTCAACTGGAAAAATAAGCAAGAATATTTGAACACTTAAAAAATTAGTTATTAAAACAGTGGAAAGTGAAAGTGAAGTTGCTCAGTCATGTCTGACTCTTTGCGACCCTGTGGACTGTAGCCTACCAGGCTCCTCTGTCCATGGGATTCTCCAGGCAGTGGAAAACTGGTACAAAAAAAGAAAGGCAGGTCAACTGAAGAGAATGGAATGGGAGTCTAGAAACATATCTACACAATATGAAAATCTGCAATATGATAAAAGGGTCATTTGCAAAAGTGAGGAAAGAATAGATTTAATGAACAGTCTTACAGTAACTAGGTAGTTACCTAGGAAAAAAAAAGTGGAGCCTTAAATTCAGGACAGATCAAATGTTTAAATGTGAAAAGTCAAAAAACAGAAATACTCATCTTTACTTTTAACATTCAAACAGTAGTAGATACACCTTGCCTTTGAAAAGAAGTGCAGAAAAGAATGCATGTTACAATTTGTATTATATCATATAGCATTTATACACATGGATACATTTATGTATGTATATGGTATTTCTGGGGGGTATACAAAAATGTAGTGTTTGTACCTTTTTCTTTGAAAGGGAACTAAAAGATGAGTGTCAGGAGTAGGAGACAGACTTGATTTTTTTTAATGTTTCAACTAAGAAGATGTATTAGTTAATTTAAACAAAGAAATTAAAAACACATGCCAGAAAACAAAAACAAAAAACCTATACATAATAGCATATAATTAGTAGGACCCAAACAAGGTTAATTTGGTAACCCAAATTCTGATAGTAAAATATTGCATAGGAGTTTAAAATGTCTGAAAATAACATAAAAAGAAAGCTGCTAGAGTTACTGAATCTTCTAAGCTACGTCAGTTTTTTCAAAGGCAAAATAATATTCAGATCCTTAGGGATTTTTACCCTTGAGAACTGGTATAAGCTACTACTTTATGATAACGGAGTTAAGAAAGACTATCTCCCTTTAATTTTTCTTCTAGACATACTGCATATTTCATTGCCTGAATTTGTATATACACCAAATGAACAAAAATAAAGATCAACTTTGAGTTAAAAAGTACCTCAAGGCAATACAAAAAAAGTAATTTTAATTTTTGATACATATTAAAACATTTCAGTCAGTTCTTCCTGACAGCATAACACGACAAATACACAAGACCTCAAACATGCTTTAAAATGACATTCAGCAAAGTATTTAAAATTTAATAAATAGCAATAATCACACACAAATACATTTTTCATACTCAATCATTAAGCTACTAAAAGAGATAGCTAAAGAATAAATAAATGGGAATTGACAATAAAAAAATATGCGTGGTTTTGCAATTCACTTTACTTTAAAAAGGGAGGTGATCTGAATGACTTTTTAATTTGCTTTTCATGAAGCATGATCCTCCCCTCATGAATAAAATATATTGAAAAAAATCACTTTCTTACAAGAATGCAGTCTTTAAATACAACAAATAAATATGAAACCAGCAAAGCAACCTCAAGTTGTAATAAAAATGCCCCCTCACCCCCCCCGCAAAAAGCTATGGAAATATAGTCATCATGATAGCAAATAATAGTATTTAAAGTGAAGGTGCTTCTGCACTAAATTCATCTGAGACCTTAATATGATTTTAGTGCAAATCCCCTAGGGTCTAATAGAAGCATAACCCTGTATCAGGGAAACATATTACCAGTTGGAACTTGTACAGTTTTTGTACACATAAAGTTCAAGATTTAATGCATAGTAGAATATCTTCATCTGCTTAATTTTGTCCTTAAATAGAGATGAGAAAGAAATGACTTGGGATTTTTACCATTTGGTTTGTACCATATTAGAGTATTAAAGTCAACATTAGAAAACCTATAAAAGAGTTTTGTTTTTTGCCATTAATTTATCTAACTATCTAAATTTCACATCATTGCATGTCAAACATAAGAGAAAACATTTTAGACAAAGATTTTTTTTCCCTTTGACAAGCTCATGTTATGATGAAATCCAATAATGCCTAGACAAATGTTAATGTTATATAAATAAAAATAGATGAGTATAAGGAATTTTTACTTTTTATATTAACAACCTTAACATCTAGTATATTAACTTATAAGATGTGTTGACAAAAGCATAAAGGTTAAGTTTAATTAAAAGAAGGTATTATTCTGAACAAAAAAATATTTTAACATAGGATAGATAAACTGACAGTCAAATGAGTTTCAGCAGCCCTATCTCTACTGCTAACCACAGTACCGGAATGAAAACAATTAGAAACAAATGGAAAAACATTACTGAACAATCTGAATACATAATGTATTTTTAGCTGCTAAGATAGTAAACTCTAAAGTTCATAGAGTTACAGTTGTTTAATTTAACCATGCAGGCTAACATATGATAATAAGAAATCGCCCTGCATCTTTTTTTTTTCTTTTTAAATGAAAACTAGTTTAATTGTAAAGTTACAAAACAATGAATGGATATTGCTCCAACTTGTATCCAAGCTCCCTGATGGGATCGTACCTAACAAAGTAACAAAGCTTCATCATCACTGGTTTCAGTTTTCAGTGTTGCTTCCAAGCAAGAGTCCGGGATCTGGGCAGTGTGGACGATACCACAGCGCTCACAAGGGCCATCACGACTACTTGGCCTCACTCCAGGGTTTGTTCCACTGTGTGGTTGTCTGAACCCTTGCCCTTGATCGGACGTAAGACCAAGAAGGGGCCTGGAGCAGTCATTCACATCGAAGTCTGAAGCTCCTTCAGAAACTGGAATTAGCATCTCGACATCATCATCTTCTTCTCTTCCATTTACCCCATTATCAAGTTGTCTCAAAGGGCTCTGGTTCTGACTCACGGAGCTTGATCGCCCTAATGTGAAGCGTACCCAACGCAGCCCCTGAGTCATTCGACTGAGCGCACTTGTGAGCTGGTGCCGTGCTGGACTCACACTGCGGGGCTCCACAGCGGTGACATCCCGTCCGGTCTCTGTGTGACCCCCTCGGGTGCTCTGAGTGGTGGAACTTCCACTTGCTCCCACTGCTGCTTCTACAGCCGTCGTGGGAGGGACTTTTTGGGGCAAAGGAGCTGCAACCCCACCCGATGCTCCTGCTGGATCTCTTCTCTCATTTTCTGTGTCTGTGTCATCAGACTCCACGGAAAACAGACTTCTGTGAGTATGATTTCTTTCAGGTTCTCTGCTGGTACTCTGGCTAGGGACAACCTCATCTCCATCTGCTGAGACCAGAGCCAATGACCCTGAATGCCGTGACCTTGCAAAATTAAAAATACGGTTCCAGATGTTGCTGGATCTGCCTGCCATAGGAAGCCTGATGGAAGTAAATCCAAGCTGAGACCGTACAGCCAGCCTCAGGTTTTCCAAAACAGATGCCTGAAAAAAAAAAAAAGATCTTAAGACAGCTGAAAACAAGGTATTAAAACGGTGTTGTGGATAAAAATTCTATTACTCATTGCTAGGGTCTATGAAAGATAAATTAAATTCTCTCATTGATACAGGTTCATCCCACTGCAGAAACTAACCTATAACTGGAACCACTGTTCACTGTGTTTAAGATTTTCTTGATACTTTACATATGAACTTTAAAATGATACTTAATGTCAATCACAACAGCAATTTTGTTTTAAAACTTCACACAGTAATCCAATCCTAGAAATGTACCAAGGATGAAAATGAAATTATTTGATACTTCTTTAGCTATGAGCATAGAATAGTCTCTACCATAATTCTCTAAATGACTTACAGGAGTGTGAAAACCAGGCTGTTTACCTGTTTGTTTAGAACAGAACAAATTAGACTTGATTTACAAGGTCAAAACCAAGGATTTATTGAATGAGTAGATATTGAGAATTTATTTATATTACCATAAACAGAGGAATTATATTTGTAATGCAGCACAGAAAACAGAAAGTCAAAGAAAATAATTTGTTTATAGCACTATTCAATGGTATCTGAGACATTTAGGTTTCTTTTCGATCTTAAAGATTTATGTCTTATTGTCATGTTAAACATAAATTATAACCTTATTCTTTGAAAACTGATGATTTTTAACTAGTGCACTTGAGAGGTGACCATATTGCTCAACTGAAAGAAAAACCTACTCTTTTTTTGTAGATGAATGACTATCAGAATTATTAAAAAACAAAAACCAAAACCCAACAAGCTACTGTTATAAAAACAGTCTTTAAGCTCCATCTAGTGGTTATAAAAAGGAGTAATCCAACTTGAAACAAACACAAGCTTTCATCAATCTGGCATTTAGTATTTAAAACACAGTATTTCCAAGAAACAACGGTAAATTGATATACTCCCTTTCAAATGAAGATACAGCTTCTATTTGCCAAAATGAATGACTCTTGCCCCTCCTCCTCACACAAGAAAAGAAGGGAAGAGAATAAGAAAATGTGGTAGTATGTTCTCCATCTCTCTGTGACTGGTACTACACTTATTTGTGATTTCCATATAGACTTTTTGAACATAATCCCTGAAATATAATTCACAGAAAGCTAAGAAGCTACTATCACAGGATTATTTCATAGTCTGGCTTTAATAAAGAACAGACTGTCAATGAGAAATCTGAATATCAGCATATATAAATTTAGTATGCCAGTAAGATTTTTCACCAATTAAGAATATAAACTAAAAGTGGTTCACATCCCTATGAACCCCACAGATCTGGTTCTCTTCATCTGGCATTCAAGTTTTAAGGCTTTGTGTGAGCACTGTCATTAAATCCAGCAAAGAATACAGGCTCTTCAGCTATCCTCCCCTCTTAGGCAGTATGATCCACAATGCCTTCAGCACACTTCAGAGCCGACTTTAACAGTACAGTCTGCCACAGTGATAGGAAGTTCTCTACTCGTTTCAAAGTCTGTTTAATTAAATGACTGCCAATTCAATTCCACAAGGGGATCTCATGATTATTTTAGGAATAATTTCATACACTTCTTCAGTTTATGAAGAAGAAAGAAAGCATGCCTCAGAAAGGATTGCTATTTTGAATTGAGATGGTAATTCAGAAAATAATTCTTTTTAAAAACTAATATAGATATTTGATAATTTATTAACAAAAGTTTCAAACTTGAGAGTTTAATCTCATTAAGTGAGTAAAATCTAGTTTACAAACATGTTTTGTTTTAAAACTTTTTATTTTTTTTATTTTTTAAATTAATTATTTATTTATTTTTTTCCATTTATTTTTATTAGTTGGAGGCTAATTACTTTACATCATTGCAGTGGTTTTTGTCATTTAAAACTTTTTTGAATCAAAATTCTCTCAGGGTAAATTATAACCCAAGATGAAAGCTGTTATGGAGAGTTAATTAAACTTTACCCAAAGTGAAGTCTGACCTTTGCCCTTTACGTCTGGGAAGAGATCTCAATCCCTGGAATGTCATCTCTGATAGAAGTGCCATTGCGTGGAGCCTTGGGCCAGCCAGAGAGTAACAGTGTGTTTTAGGTGGAGGCTCTGAGCCACACAAACGTGATGCAGGGTGAGGGCTTTCAATTAGCAGAATCAGTCAATCTCTGAAGAGCTAGAGGCCGGGATCAGTCACGTGTGTGATGAATTGTGCCTATGTGATGGAGCTCTTATAAAAACCTTGGACACCAAGTTTGGGGGAGCTTCCCTAGATGGCAATGTTTCATGCATATTGTCATTCACTGCTGTTGAGAGAGTTACACTGTCCTGACATTATGGGGAAAAGACAATTGGAAGGGCTGTGCCTGGTACTCTCCTGAACCCTGTTTTCTATGTCTCTTACTTCGGTTGATTTAATCTGGGTCCTTTCCAAGCAATAAAAGCTACACCATGGTGCATAACAGCTTCCAATGAGCTCTGAGGCTTTCTAGTGAGTTATCAAACTGGACGATGGTTCTGGGAGCCCCTGAACTTACAGTTACAATTGGTGTTAGAAGCGATGGCTATCATATGTGGACAATGCTCCATGTAACTCACAGTTGACTAAACTCTTGAAGGCACCCTCAGGGTATACCGGTGGTGGGTGACAGATGGTAGAGGGGGTGCATGGAATTAACCATCCTCTGAATTCCTACCTAAAAAGAACCCTTCCCCATGGCAGGACCAACAATATATTACGAAAAAGCCATAATGTAGGTTCTTCCTATGTTGCACACAAAATTTTAACCTGTAGAAATTCTGAATTATTTACTTAGCAAATTATATCCAGAGAAATGTTTTAAAACTATAAATTCTCACAAAGATTTCCTAAAAAGACTCAAATAAGGTGACAGATTGCAATCAGAAATCTCATTTATCAAAAAGGAAATGGACTTTAATTTGAACAGAATTAATCACTGGGCTTCTCTGGTGGCTCAGCTAAAGAATCCACCTGCAATACAGGAGACCTGGGTTTGATCCCTGGGTTGGGAAGATCCCCTGGAGAAGGAAACAGCTACCCACTCTAGTATTCTGGCCTAGAGAATTCCATGGACTATCCATGGAGTCACAAAGAGTCAGACACGACTGAGCAACTTTCACTTTCAACCAGTGGGAAAACAATGTCTAACAATTTTTCTTAATTCTGATACTACAAACAATTTTTAGAATTATTTCATGATGAATTTACATTTTAAATGTATAAACCTTTATGGCCTTATGAACCCTGGCACAACTTTAAGAATTGAAAAAGAAATTAAAAACGAAATTGCCGGGAACTATATTCAACATCTTGTAATAACCTATTACAGAAAAAAATATGAAAAAGAATGTATATAACTATGTATATAACTGAATCACTTTGCTGTATACTGGAAACTAAGACAACACTGTAAATAAACTACATTTCAATTTAAAAAATTGCTAACAAAAATTTAAAGAATTCAGCAACATTAATAAAGAATGACTACATGGGAGGGGAGTTTGGGGGAGAATGGATACATAAATATATATGGTTGAATCCCTTTGCCATCCACCTGAAACTTTCATAACATTGTTAATTGGCTATACTCTAAATAAACTAAAAAAATTTAAAAACAGAGTCACTATTTAAAGAAAATGATATGGATTTTTAAGCACTGTAAAATCCAGCTGTGAAGAGGTTTTCTCTCAAGGCAGGTAGAAATATTAACTTCATTTCAATGACTTATTTTAACCTTGCATGTTACTAACGTATTTCTAAGCATATCAACTTTAGTATTTACTCTTAAATCTTCAAAATAGTTCAAGTAGAAAGTAAGTTGTCAGACTTTACTTCTGAATTTAGACATACTAAATTATTCTAAACATTAGGGCTTCCCAGGTGGTGCTAGTGGTAAAGAACCCACTTGCCAATGCAGGAAAACAAGAGACACGGGTTCAGTCCCTGGGTGGGGAAGATCCCCTGGAGGAGGGTATGGCAACCCATTCTAATATTCTTGCCTGGAGAACCCCATGGACAGAGAAGCCTGGTGGGTTACCGTCAATGCGGTCACAAAGAGTCGGACATGTTTGAGCGACTAAGCACATCCTAAACATTAAAGTGCTTAAGAATCACGTAACCAAATGAAAAGTAAAGAATGAAAAGTATACTTTTGAATTTCTTAAAATATAATGAAAACAACTAGAGTAGACCCTTGAGCAACATGGGCTTGCCCAGGTGCGCTTATTTACGGATTTATTTTTCAATGGCAAATACTACAGCACCACATCATCTATGGTTGGTTGAATTTGTGGATGCTGAACCCTAGACAGAAGGCTGACTAAAAAGTTGTTTAGTTGCTCAGTCATGTCCGACTGTCTTGTGACCCCATGGACTGTAGCCCACCAGGCTCCTCTGTCCATGGGATTTCCCAGCAAGAATACTGGAGTGGGTTGCCATTTCCTTATCCAGGGGATCTTCCCAACCCAGGGATCAAACTGCATCTCCTGCATTGGCAGGTGGATTCTTTACCACTGGGCCACCTGGGAAGTTCAACTATAAAGTTACATGTGAATTTTAACCTGCATGGAGCATTGATGCCCCTAACCCCCACATTGTTCAGGAGTCAACTATATAATTTCAAATCTTCCATTTAATTCTTGACTAGACTGCAAAACTTCTGACACAATCAAGGGTCCTTCACCACTACACGTAAGTATAGACTTCATTTTAAGAGGTACTGAAACAGAAATGATAAACTGTAACATACCTGATTAGGTGAACAAACAGGAAAATCTTCAACTGGTGGAATTAAACCCTGAGCGATCAATTGTCCATAAGAGGGAGGAGCTTCTCTTCTTAACAATTCTGCTTCCACTCTGGACAACTGTGTTTCAAATGATCTTTGAGAGAAACAGAGGGATGAAAGGAGTTTAAAAAGAAAAGGGGCAATCCAAAACAGTAATTTTTAAATTATCAACAATGAAAACAGTCGGAATGTTAACGTATTTGTTCATTTGTGAAGCAGAATCAGCCAATATTTGGTGAGTACCTATACTACCCACACCGAGAACATGGAGGTGAAGCGGACAGTCCAGCCTCATGTGGTCTCACAGTAGGGGCCTGGGTCACTACGTTTTAAAAAATTAAATATCCCTGTGAAAGATAAAAGTACTAGATCTTTAAACTTCTGAGATCATAGGGGCTTGAGACTTGAGGTGAAAGTATCTGAATATTCTTAGAAGATACTTTATTCATCAAGTCCAACACATTTACCTTTCAGGTAAGGAAAACAGTGAAATGAGTTGCCAAAACCCACTCTGGAGTAACTTGCTCTTAAACTCAAGACCTCTGGTCTTCATTGTGCTCTTATGTTGTGTGTGTGTGCTAAGTCCCTCCAGTCATGTCCGACTCTTTGCGACTCTATGGACTGTAATCCCCCAGACTCCTCAGTCTATGGGGCTTCTCCAGGCAAGAATACTGGAGTGGGCTGCCATGCTCTCCTTCAGGGCATCTTCCCTACCCAGGGATCAAACCCATGTCTCTTCTGTGTCCTGCATTGCAGGTGGGTTCTTTACCACTCTTTATGTTGCTTATTTGCTTTTATGTTGCAATGCAGTAAAACATTTCTGGTCACTTATGCTCACTTATGCCAAATAAGAAGCATATGGTTGTTGTGATACTGGGCATCTGTTCTTGGCTGTCTGGTATGTGACTTCTTTGTTGTATGTATTACGTGCAACTCTCCTGGGGCTGATGGTCATGGTCTCCACAGGAGCTTTCTAGAAGACCTCTCTGCCATCAGCTTCTCCAGGTCTCTCCTCTGCCATGTGGAAGATGGCTCTCCTTGAGGGCCACCCTTTCATGCTGAACCATTTCTTACTTAACTGAGATCCTCTGACTTTCATATCACTTTATTTTATAGCTATTACAGCATTTATATGTTTTGTCATTTAATCCTACCCACCAGTTCCTTCCTTCTAACTGTAAACTGCCTGTGAGATTACTCCTACTCATTGCTCTATTCACCCGTATACTGCTTTGTACAAAGAAGGCTCTCAAATGTCTGGAATTGTTGAATTAATATTTATAAAAACTCAGGTTAAAGCACTATGACCAAGAATTACAGCTTGCAAAATTCCTATAAAAAATGTTAATCTGAAAACAGTAACTGAATACAGACTGCCTTTTCTCACCTCCTAACTCTTAAGTGTTTGTTTTTTTAATGTGCTTATTAACCTTTTGAGTCATACACTTTTCATAGTAATTTTATAAATCACAGACAATATGTAGCTCTGTCTCCAATAGTGTAACAAAAATATATTGCTCATCTCCTTAAAAACTGTGCTGCAAGTATCTGGGCCATGTTTTTACTGTATAGAGCACGCAACCCCATAGCTGTCTCGATACTGACCTTCGTTCAAACATCCTCAGAGAATAGAGCTTACAGGTGCACCCCAAGGCAATGACCAGCAGCAGGCCGCAGATGAGGCTCCCGATAACGGCGGCGGTGATGACCCGGGTCGGCACGATCACGGGGCAGTTCTCCTCGTCGCTGCCGTCGCCGCAGTCGTCCTGAGAGTCACACACCCAGCTTTCAAACACGCACCGGTTGTTTTTACAGTGAAAGTTTCCTGGCTGGCAAAAAAAGCAGTTTTTCTCGTCAGAGCCGTTTGGGCAGTGATTCTGGTAGTTGCAGCGGTCGGAGCGCGGGTAGCAGACGCCGTTGCGGGAGCACGGGAACTCGTCCCTCTGGCAGGCGGTGCAGTTGGCCTCGTCCCTGCCGTTCGGGCAGTGCCAGTAGCCGTCACAGCGCTGCGGCTCGGTGTAGCAGCCCCAGTTCCCTCCGCACGGGATCTCCCACGGCAGGCAGAAGCCATCCACCTGGTAAGTGGCATTAAAGCCCCGGGCCGCGTTGACTTTATCGGCGCAGAAATGGACCCTTATCTGTCCAGACGAAGACACGACAGTGAGAGGCGCGTGAGAATCAAAAGCGGTCAACACACGCAGAAGCTTGTGCGGATTCTCCTCTAATCCATCATATATTTTGACATAATCACCATAACCAGTACCATCAAGTTTAAAGTCTGTGAAGCGTAAGATGACTTTGCGGTGATCACCAGTGTCTATTAACCAGGTGCAATTGCTTCCGGGAGGATAAAAGTCTGGGTAATTGGGAGAATTAAAAGTACCATAAAAATATTTTAACCACTGCCCACATGTGGGCACATCACAATCAATCTCATCTCCGAGGTCAAGGCAGTCAATGTTGCCGTCGCATTTTAAAGACTCGGGGAGGCAGGTGTAGACTTTGGTAAACCGAGACAGACACTGGAACTGGTTGTAAGCACAGGGCTGGAAGGAGGCAGATGTTGGAGGATTCGCTTCTCTGGCACAGATCTCTTCATCAGAACTGTCTCCGCATTCATCCATGTTGTTGCATTTCCAGGCTGCTGGTATACACTTTCCATTTCCACAGCGAAACTGGTCACAAGCACAGTTTGGTTCTTCAGATTTCCCTGGGAGGTCAGTTGGGAGGAGGGAGATGGAGAGGTAAGGAGGGAAAAAAAACATATTCTTTAAAGGATATGTAACAGCAAGTGGTATTTTTATCGTAAATGTTAATTAGCTCAGGTGATAGTTGGGCTTAAGCAAAAAATTTAATTAATGTTGGCTTACTGATTACTCAAAACTTTAATTAAATAATACTTATGATTTGTTCCATGAAGGTCTCTACAACTTACCTAAAGATAAAGGCCTGATTCTATTTTTGCAGAAGCTGCTTTGCTACAGAACATTAAGTAAAGTGATGTAAGATATATGAGCCAGGATATACTGTCTAAGAATTTTAAATACCCTACTGAATAAACATTTTGAAACGAAGAAACACTCCATAATAATCACCTTTTCAAATCCATTTTAATATTCTTTTCTAGTTATTTACATATATATATATGTACATATACACAATATCTTGCAAGTCCATTATCTTGACTCAAGAGTAACAGAAGGAGAGAGAAAAGAACTGAAATGTTCATAGAATTCTAATTGTTTTAGTAGACTATCCTAAATATATATCAAGAATGAGATAGGGAAAGAAAACTAAACATTAGAATCCTACAGTCCATACTGATGATGTCAGCCAAAGGCTTTCCTCTCCATCAACAACTTATTTACTGGCAAATAGGTGACAGAAAATGCTTCAGAATCTAAGTAACTATTACAAAGATGTGCTTTTAATAAAAAAAAGAAAAAGTAGCATATGTTGCTAAAGGTGACCATGTTAATTTCAGAAAAAAGTAAAATTATTTTCAGCAAAAATTTACAGGACTCTAGTGCTCTGAGTTCATATTTTTATGGTCTGGTCACACTACTCAGATAAAGTTTAAGAACTAGCAAAAGAAGACTTCTGATACTACAAACTATGAAAGTAAAATTGATTGTGTCTTTTCTTTGAAAAGATAACATCTTTTCTTTGTAACGTCTTTTCTTTGTAAAGATAATGGTAACACACACAAAAATACATTCTGAAGTAACATGCAGGATATGGGTGAACACTTGAGGGGAAAAAGGTTCCTTTTAAAATAAATATATTCAAAATATTTTAAAGACTGACTTTAGTGTGTAAAATTAACCATTTTATTAGGATTATACAAAATGCCTTTTGGAGACCTAACTCTAGGGCACCTGAACCTTTCGCCTCGAATTCCTCAATCTCAGCTGTCTTGGTATTTAGTCACAATAAAATGGACATTGTTTAGAAGGCAAGTCCTGAAGTGACTGAGGAGCTAATATGATAGAATTCTGTTCCATACCTTTTTTCTTATATAAAAACACACCTGAAAAGTATGCCAGCCTGAAACCCTTCCTAGAGATACTGTCATCGGAATGGAACCTGATCCAGACGTGGTCTTGGGAAGAAATGTACGGCGGTGGGATTGTGGAACCACAGGCTCTGTAGCTTTCAATATTCTTATATGTTTCTATCGTCAACCAGTCCAAACTGCATCTTCTGGACCCTTGAATGTCAAAATCCTGAAAACTACAAATAAAAAGTCAGAAAAGGCTGTTGAAAGGAAATTTTGGAAAAAAAAATTTCATTAAAAAAAACACAACAAAATAAAAATAATTGAGAACTTTATTATAAGCCTCTAAATATTCACTGATTCTCCTGGCTCTTTTTAGTACACAACTGTATCATCAAAAAATACTAACAATAATACTTCTGTGTTCCTAATATTTATATCTCTTTCCCAGATTCCAGAATAATACTTCATAAGTAACACAAAGTTCCAAAATAATGCTAAAAAACAGGAGATAGTTGGCACTGGCAGGCACCTTTTTCTTCTCCCTGTATGTCTTTAGGAAGGACCACTTCTAATTTCTAATACTCTAAATTGTTCTCAGTTTGGACCAGAAACACCACTACATAATTCAATGAACTAAAAGACACAGAGGAAGTCAGCCTTCTCTTAGATGAGACTGGTTCATCTGCTTGCTTAATGAAAAGTTTATAGCTTACATTTTCAGGAGAGTAAATAGCACAAACCTGAGCCAAGTAAAGAAGTTAAAAATGAACAAACAAAAAACCTGAGTGAAAAGTCCCTGAGTTTGGGAATACTTTTCTACATAAATGACTTATAGCCAAATGTTATCTTATAGTTCGTAAAACACGGGCACAAATAAAGGACAGAAAGGGCTTCCGAAGTGGCTCTGTGGTAAAGAATCCACCTGCCAATGCTGAAGATGCTAGAGACATGGGTTCAATTCCTGGGTTGGGAAGATCCCCTGGAGGAGGAAATGGCAACCCACTCCAGTATTCTTGCCTGGGAAGAATGGACAGAGGAACCTGATGGGCTATAGTCCATGGGGTCACAAAAAGTCAGACATGGCTGAGGAACTGAGCATGTATGCAAAGGACAAAACAGTCAAAATAAGCAGCACACACAAATTAGCCAAAAAGTGAGATTCCTTGCCTTTGCCTTAAGCCAAGTGATGACACAGTTAATTATCCAAGGATTATTACACCAGGCTATTTCCTCTTTAAATATTCTGAGTAACTAGAACAAAGGCTGACATTTTGACTGCTTCCAGTTTTTCACTATTATGAACAATGCTTTCTCTCCATACACACAAGAGCAAGTATTTCTGTAGGACAGATTTTTCTAGAAGTAGAATTGCTAGATTCAAGTATTCAATTTCACTTTAAAGTTGATGGTGGCATTGAGAAAATGTTTATACCAACTCACAATTCCACCAAATGTTGTGAAAAAGTACCTTATACCCTACAACTCTGGCAAAAGGAAACATTTTACTTCCAAAGATTTGTTGCCAATTAGGTGCATAAAATAAATTTATTGTTCCAGTCTCCATTTCCTTATTTACTGAGATTGAAACACTTTCCCCATATTTATTAGATATTTCTATTTCTTTTCCTGTGAATCACATTGTTATATCCTTCGTACACTGAAATGTATTCTTATTCAAGAGCTCTTTATGAACATGTGGGGCTTCCCTGGTGGACATAACCGATCAACTATCACCTTCACTTTTAAACATGTACTTTTTTGAGGCATGTATGTTACACAAGATATATGTGTACAACCACTCACACCCACACTCTCCAGTAGTCGGTGCTAACCGTGGTGCTAAATTTGATGCTAAATTTAGTTGGTGCTAAAATTCTTTTGAATTTCAGCCACTACTGGGCATGAAATGGCATCTCCCATGGTTGTTTTATGTGCATTTCCTGAAAGACCAATGATGCTGAACATCTTTTCATGTGCTTATTGGCATTCTTATATCTTCTTTGAAGTGTCTGTTCAAGTCTCTTATCCTTTTAAAAAAAGTTTGAGCTATAGAAATTCTTTCTATGTTCTGGATCCAAGTACTTTATTAGATATGTGTACTGCTAATATTTTCTCTATCCATGGGTTGCCTTTTCACTTTCTTAATGGTATCTGTTAATGAGACGGTTTTTTTTTTTTTGAAGTATGGTTGACTTACAACATTGTATTAGTTTCAGGGATACAACACAGTAACTTGGTATTTTTATAGCTTATACTCCATATAAAATTATTACTACATATTGGCTATATTCCTCTGTGCTGTACATTATATCCTTGTAACTTTTTAATTTTATACATAGTAGTTTATACCTCAATAGCCCTCCACTTATCTTATCCCTCTCCACTGGTAACCACTAGTTTGTTCTCTGTGAGTCTGTTTCTGTTTTGTTATATTCACTAATGTGTTTTATTTTTCAGATTCCACATAAACTAAAAATATACAGTATTTGTCTTTCTCTGTCTGATTTATTTCACTAAACATAATGTCCTGTAGGTCTATCCACACTGTTGGAAATGGCAAAATTTCATTCTTTTTTATGGCTGAGAAATATTCCACCACCATACACACACCCCACATCCTTTTTATCCATTTATCTGTATTTCATATCTTGGTTACTATAAATAATGTTGTTATGAACACTGGGATGCATTCATCTTTTGAAATTATTTTTTTCACTTTCTTTGGGTATGAAGAATGGAACTGCAGAACCATGTGGAAGTTCTATTTTTCATTTTTTGAGGAACTTATGTGCTGTTTTCCACAGTGGCTGTGCTGAATGGGAGAAGATATTTGCAAATGACATGTCCAATAAGGGGTTAATCATCCAAAATACACAAAGAACTCATACAACTCAGTATCAAAAAAACAGCCCAATTAAAGTAAGGGCAGAGGATCTGAACAGACATTTTTCCAAAGGAGACATACAGATGGCCAACAGGCACATGAAAAGATGCTCAACATTTCTAATAGCCAGGGAAATGCAACACAAAACCACAATGAGATACTGCCTCACGACTGTCAGAGTGGTTATTGTCAAAGCCATGTTGTTCAGGATGTGGAAAAAAGGGAAATACCTTTGTGCACTGTTGGTGGAACTACATGGAAAACAGTATGGAGGTTCTTCAAAAAATTAAAAATAGAACTACCATATGATTCAGCAATTCCACTCCTAGGTATTTATGGAAGAAAACAAAACATTACTTAGGAAAGATATATGTACCCCTAATGTTTATGCTGGCTTGCGGAATCTCAGTTCCCTGACCAGGGATTGAACCTGGGTCATGGCAGGGAAACCCTGGAATTCTAACCACTAAGCCATCAAGGAACTCCCAGCTTTTAATCAGCTAAAATGTTTAAGATTCATGAAATCAGGGACCTGATTCAGAACAAAAGAAATAATCAGGAGTTGTCTCTTCATGTATACACTATTGAGGATCTGGTTTTCCAACATTCATTAGGGAGCTTAAAACACAGTAATAAGTAGAAAATCGACTTCCCTGGTGGCTCAGGCAGTAAAGTGTCTGCCACGATGCAGGAGACCCGGGTTCAATCCCTGGGTCGGGAAGATCTCCTGGAGAAGGAAATGGCAACCCACTCCACTATTCTTGTCTGAAAAATCCCATGGACAGAGAAGCCTCGTAGGCTACAGCCCATGGGGTCGCAAAGAGTCAGACACGCCTGAGCGACTTCACTTTCACTTTTCATAAGTAGATATAGTTTTCAGTTTTTCTTTTTTTATGCTTTGTAATAGTTTGTTTTGTAATTTTGTAACAGATTGTTTACAAATCTGCACCTTGTGCTTCTTCACAGGACAGACGACTTAGGGTAGAGATTTTCAATTTCTTCATGCTTTTTGGTTTAATCAGCTTTTCCTAAACTTTCAATAAGTCAATTTTGGTAATTTAAATTTTCTTAGAAGTCATTTGCCCTTGAAAGTAAAATTTATCACGGCAAAGCTTTACATAGTACTTTCACACAGCTGTTTAAATTTTTATATCTATGGTCTAAATTTGTTTGGGTTTTCTTTGTAGGTAAGTATAATACTGGCAAATAAGAGTTTTACCTCTTCCTTTTCATTTTTTTTATATCACTCATCTCTATTTGTTGGAGTGTTGTATTGACTGAGGGTTCAAGTACAAGCAGTGAAAGTATTGTATTTATAACTATAGACATTTTTGTTCTTGTTTTTCTATTTTTTTCCTTCACTCTTGCCTTGAGATCTTTGTTTATTTTCCTCAGTTTTTCAGAAAACCAGTTTTTGGTTATTTCTTTTTCTGTTTAATTATCTTCTGATAAATATTTTTTTCTGTTTAATTATTTTCTGATAAATAAAGATTTACCCTGTAGTTTTTATCCTAAACTCTTGAGAAAATGCTGAGCTAATATATTTTCCACTTTACTTTCTATGCATTAATTTTTAATTCAATGCATTAAAGTTGTAAATTTTTCGCTAACTGCTGTTTCAATGTAGTTCAACAGTTTTAATATCCAATATCTTCAACAGTTTTAATATCCAATATTTTCATTTTCATTACGGGTATTTAAAAATATTTTGAGTTCCACTGTGCCTTCCATCTTTGGTGCAGTTGTTATTTAGGAATATGTTTCTGAACATACAGGCTTTTTAATTATTTTCCAGTTTAACTGTGTTATGGTTAGAGAACACAATCTGAATGATGTAAAGTCTGTAAATACATTGAGAATTCCTTTGTTATTTAATGTAAAATCAATTTTTAAATAAATGTTGCACATGTCATTAAAAGGAATGTGCATTCTCTATCCACTGAGATAGGTATAAAAATTACACACATACGTGATATATGTGTCTACTGGATCAGTATAAAAATTTCTCTATTTTTACTGTTTTCCTGTTTAAATTCAGATAACAAATATGTTTACAAACTTCCACTGTAATTGTGGACTAATAAAACTTGGTCAGATTTGCTTGGTAATTCCCTACAGTTTGCTTTTGCTTGGTTTTGGGCTGCGTTATTAGCTACATAACATCTAACCATGATTATATCTTCCATTTGTTACTAATATTTTGTTTTGAAGTCAATTACAACTGATGTCAACCCTCCCACACTAGCTCTCTTCTGATCAGTATTTCATAGCTTATCTTTTCCTGTCTTCATTATTTAGATTTCCTGTATTGGTACTCTTTTAGGTATGTTCCTGTAAGCCCATTAGAGAAGGATCATACCAGTTAACCGATCAATAAACCTGACTGGATAGTCTATCTTCTAAATGTTAAGTGAGATTCGTTTTTTTTTTTTAATTCTATTTGGGATGGGGATAGTGTTTTCTCGTTTTCCTGTATTCTTCTATATTAATAGGCTTTTTAAAAAAGTTTCTTTCCCTCTGCTTTGGTCTTTGTTGTTGTTTAGCTGCTAAGTCATGTCCCATTCTTTTACAACTCCATGGACTGTAGCCTGCCAGGCTTCTCTGTCCATGGGATTTCCCAGGCAAGAATACTGGAACAGGTTGCTAGTCCCTTCTCCAGAGGATCTTTCTGACCCCGGGATCAAAGCTGTCTCCTGCATTGGTAGGTGGATTCTTTACCACTGAGCCACCAGGGATGCTTTGGTCTAATAAAGTCCAACTACAAGTATTCAGTGTTTCTAATCCCCTCTCAAATTTTCAAATTCAGTAGAAAAATCAACAATTTTATTTTCACCCATCTGTAACTGAAATTTAACATTTCATTAACATTGCTTCACTTATGAAATAAACACACTATGAATAGTTTTTATAATGCTTCTCACACTGTCACCAGTGGAAATCATAGAAAATGTCATATTACATTTTAGTTTTAGTAGATATCTAGAGTAACTACTTACACTCAAAACCATTTTGAAATTATAGTAACTATTAAAAGCATGGCTTGCTCACTAATTGTTAATAAACATGTATGTGTTTGTAAAAATATCTGATAGCTGTGTTTCAGGAATAACTGGTTTCTTTTGTAACGCTATGTGTTTTACTCTATACATTTAAAAATATTCTGGGAATGGATTTATAGGTTTCACCAAACTACCAAAGTGCTCATGGCATAAAGAAGGTTAAGAAAAAAACCCCCAGTATAGTAAAGTGTGTAACGTCTGTAGTAAATCTGTGTTCCAACTTGCTTCCCTGGTGGCTGAGATGGCAAAGAATTTGCCGGCAATGCAGGAGATGCAGGTTCGATACCTGTGAGAGGGGAACGGCTACCCACTCCAGTATTCTTGCCTGGAGAATTCCATAGACAGAGGAGCCTGGCGGGCTATAGTCCAATAGGGTCACAAAGAGTCGGACACGACTGAGTGACTAACAGTTAGATTTTGCTGGCTGTTTGCTTAATATTAAATTTTTTCATACATTCTAGAAATTTTGGGTTGCAGGCTTCTGAGGAGGATTTTTGGTGTTGTTTTTAATTTTTTTCTCCCTATATTCCTCCACAGCATCTGCTCTGTAACTTCCTCCATTTAGGTCTCCTTTCTAAAACCAGCCCTAACGTTGCAGTTCAGAGCAGTATCACAGTTGTGTCACAGAATCAGTAAGGGACTTAGTAAAATTTCCATTTATTGTGGTATGTCATCCTATCTTTCTAAGCTCTCAGCTCCATGAGAGTTCAAGCAGTGGTTAGCAGAAGTCTTCTTCAGCCTCCTTTCTTAAGCAAAATGTCCTGACCCTAGTCCTTGACTTCAAGCAGGGAATCAGAAGCCAATCCTCTGTGGATAAGGTGGACAGAGGATAAGGTGGATAAGGTGGCCTTTGTGAATTTTAGCAGATTTCCAGGGAAAGGATAAAAATGCTTATAAACTGGTTAAATAGTTTAACCAGCTTTACAAGGAGAGTTCTAAGTATTGTTTGCTTATAGTATGTAATTTTAGTTTCTTTTATCTATATTTTAATAATTTTAAACTCAGGAATGCATGTTGATTTTCATTTTACCAAAAACCTTTAAAACCCGTGTCTAGATAATCATACATCTTTTCTCTGACTTAATATGGTAAGTTAATTTAATGTTTCCTAATATTGACTAATTTGTGTTTAAATGAACTGCATTTGATTATGGTATAAATTTCTTTTGAACAATTTATCTAAGATATTACACCAATATTCACAAGTGAAACTTGACTTTCTTTGCATATTATGTCAGTATGTCATCTTTTAAAAGTTTGTTATTACCATGATAATGGTTTCAGTAAGAACTAGGACAATTACTAAAATTACTTTTGTGAGACTGGCTGTGTAAATCCGAATTTGTTAACTCGGTTCAGAATTTAGGAAATCTTCCCTTAGGTGTGTCGGGTTCACCTCTAATATTCTGCATTTCAATACTGTGCTTGATTTTTAGTGTAGCTTTGTGACATCTCAAGGATTCAACACATGGTCAGAACCAGATGGCAGTATTCCATGTCATCTCCTCTGTGCTGGCAAGAATTGCCAATTTTTACATAACTGAGCTGGTAGGCTGCAAATTTAATTTGGGGTTGAAATCTTAGGTTAAAAGAAAAAAAATCTCTAAATGCTAGTTTCACGTTTAAAAAATATTTCAAACCCCTGTGGTAAAATGTTACTTTGGAAACACATTTGTACTTGTCATATTGTAAATGGCAGAAAACAGGCATATTGTTCAGATTCCAATGTTGGTACAGTTGCAGAAGGGTAACTTTCATGGCACATCCCACCCATGCATCAGGCAAGGGAATCGTACTTCTCACAGAGGAGTGTTACTGCTTCCACAGATGCTCAGCTTCAGTGTTCCAGAAGATGTGGCTCAGGGCAAAGAGGAACCAAAGGAAAACATACCATATATTGCTGTTTTATGGCTTCCACAGAAAAAAGGGGATAGACAACAACTGTGTTCCTCAAGTGACTGGTCCTCTCATTAGTTAATAAATATAAAAAAGGAAGATGGAAAGGTTCAAACATAAGCTTAATTTAGAATCCCACTTTTTTTTAAAATGTAAAAATGAAGGAATATGTGTCTATGATCTACGAGGTCTCTTCTAAATCTAACATTCCATGATTCTTATCCATAAACATGTAAATAATGAAAGAACATCAAAGATGCCTTTGTAATATCTCTGTGATAGAAATGGCATTCTTAATTGTGTTACAGTTCTGTTTAGGTACACTTTTTTCTCCCCTTCAGGTAAATTTTTTCCCCTAATAACTCCGATATAATTTCCTTAAACAAGCAATAACTGGTTTTACTGGGTATTTCTTTCTTAGTATTTTATTCCCACAGTATTTCTCTACAATTTTAAATGTCTTTAGAATACTCTTAATCTTCCTTATTTATATCTTATTTATTCTTAGGATTTTAAATTTACGGTTATTTTCCCTAGGATTATCTTTCATTTTGTATTTTTAACAAATGATCTATTGTCTCATTGTTACAAAAATGAGCTTTTTCTAAACACAGTATTTATCCATCATCAGCTTATTTCAAGTTTTATACACACGTAACATATACATAGGCATAGTCTACAAATATGTTTTAATTCATTAAGGTAGAGGACTCTACTTTCAAGACCAACATTATGGGCTGGATCTCCAAGAGGATTAGTAAGTCTGTTTATTTGTCTCATTGCCAAAGATTACACTCTTGATTCTAATAAACTATTCAGCAAATGTGGAGCTTTTGTTAAAAGATGGCCTAGAAGAATACAGATGGCTCAGTATAAATTCATTACCACCATTAGAAAATATTCAAAACACATGTCCTAATAGAATGGGAAGAATGGGCAGTTATTCCTCCCCGAGAGACGGTAATGATAAATATAATTTATTATATTTTCTAAAAATCATCTTTTTATACTACTGCATGTTGAGCGATGATACTTGGAAAGTGAATTTATATTTTGTAATAAAATATCATACAGTAATACATGGAGGTATCAGAATTACCTTATAGTAATGATTTCCCCTGGGTTTGCCCTTATGAACCAGCTACAGTTGATTCTGGCAGGATATTCGGAAGGCCAGCCTGGGCTTGTGATTATCCCACTCGGTGCTCGAATCTGTTCTGGAGTTTCTCCACAGGCTGGAAGATAGTCAAAGCAATCTTGGAAAATTACTATATTTTAAACAAAGCATTAAGTAAATCAGTATTTATTAAAAGAGACACTTCGGATGTCAAATCATATACAATAAAATATGGTATGGCCAACCTTAAAAAACTTTCATTATTCTAATTAGATTGTTTTCTGTCCTTTTAGTCAAATTGTCTTATCCTAATTAAGTATAAAGTTTTGAGGAGGTGTGGAAGTTTTCAATTTGAATCTCTGAATAACAATTTAAGAGTCAAGACTGCTAGCTTTAGCCATGGAGATCAACTGGTACATCCATCCATCTATCTTTTTTCCAAGACTCACCTTTTAAATTTATTTATTATAACTACCTAAAAATCAACTTTACTGAACTACTTTTTGGATACTTTAAATTAAAAAAAAATCATATAGTCTTCTGAACAAAATAATTAAAGGAAAGCACATATAAACACAAGAGTAAGATGCTGAGTTGTTAAGAAGTGGGTAGATGATTGGATAAAAGCAGCAAAACATTACTTCAAAGTAGTTCTTTAATTCATTCTAGGAACACTTCCAAACTTTATTACAAAGTCATAAATGATTCCTAAATTATTTTAAAAATAAAGCCTTGAAACAGTCAGTGATTAAAGTTATCATTATGCAGTTAGATATCTAAATATCTTAGAAACAGAGAATAAATTCAAACTACTAGCAGCACTTTGCCTATATTATACTGTCACCCTGCTTATTTAACTTATATGCAGAGTACATCATACAAAATGCAGGGCTGGATGAAGCACAAGTTGGAATCAAGACTGCTGGCAGAAATATCAATAACCACAGATACACAGATGATACCACACTTACGGCAAAAAGCGAAGAAGAACTAAAAAGCCTCTTGATGAAAGTGAAAGGGGAGAGTGAAAAAGTTGGCTTAAAACTCAACATTCAGAAAACTAAGATCATGGCATCTGGTCCCATCACTTCATGGCAAATAGGTGGGGAAACAATGGAAACAGTGACAGACTTTATTTTTGGGGGCTCCAAAATCACTGCAGATGGTGACTGCAGCCATGAAATTGAAAGATGCTTACTCCTTGGAAGAAAAGTTTTGACCAACCTAGACAGCATATTAAAAGGCAGAGACATTACTTTGCCAACAAAGGTCCGTCTAGTCAAAGCTATGGTTTTTCCAGTAGTCATGTATGGATTGTGAGAGTTTGGACTATAAAGAAAGCTGAGTGCCTAAGAATTGATGCTTGTGAACTGTGGTGTTAGACAAGGCTCTTGAGAATCCCTTGGACTGCAAGGAGATCCAACCAGTCCATCCTAAAGGAAATCAGTCCAGAATATTCATGGGAAGGACTGACGCTAAAGCTGAAACTCCAGTCTACTTTGGCCACCTGATGCGAAGAACTGACTCCTTGGAAAAGACCCTGATGCTGGGAAAGATTGAAGGCAGGAGGACAAGAGGATGACAGAGGATGAGATGGTTGTATGGCATCACCAACGTGATGGACATGAGTTTGAGCAAGCTCCGGGAGCTGGTGATAGACAAGGAAGCCTGGCGTGTTGCAGTCCATGGGATCGCAAAGAACTGGACAAGACTGAACTGAACTGAACTGATTCTCCCTTCATTACCTTGAACTCTCACAGTTCACATTTTAACAATCCAGAATTCAGCTAATAATCTCAGAATTTAGTCTCCCTCAAGAGTCACAGGCTAAAAAAAAATGCAATGAATGTCTAAACCTTCAATAAAATTTAAAATCTTGTAATCTCTTATTTGATACAACTCTGACAGACTGGACTGTCTAATTTTTAAAGTAAGAGCAGATAAAAAGGAGTAATTATAAGTGGGGAAAGTAGCTGCCAAAACGACCATTTTTTTTGTGTGTGTCTATGTAATAGAGGTTATGGTCTCTTCAATTTAGGTTAAGTATGCTTGCTAGGGAGTAATTTTACAAAGTTTTTATCCATAATGGTCAACATATGGCAAACTATACTGCTCAAAAAGTCAATCCTTATTTCTATAGAATTAGCCATTCCCTGCAGAAAACATGCATCAAGGTTTTAAACCTCTGCAGGTTCAAGCCTAAAATGCATCTAGTTTGAAATTAGGGTATACTGCCAAAGGGATCTTGTTTTTAATCACTTTTCCAACACAGAGATTCATGGCATGAAATACAGGTATATAAAACATTGAGTCTAGCATACATCTTAGTGTCTACACACTAAGTTTCCAATTGTTTTTGCTTTCCCCTTACCAAAAAAATACTTAATTTGATATTTTACAAAAAGACTGTATTTATCCAATTGTGATTCTATTTGGGGCTGATTAACACTGAAGTCTTAATAAAGCAAGGCAAACCATTCAATATCACAGTAATCTAAGTCTATGCCCCAACCAGTAATGCTGAAGAAGCTGAACGGTTCTATGAAGACCTACAAGACCTTCTAGAACTAATACCCAAAAAAGATGTCCTTTTCATTACAGAGGACTGGAATGCAAAAGCAGGAAGTCAAGAGACATCTGGAGAAATAGGCAAATTTGGCCTTGGAGTATAAAATGAAGCATGTCAAAGGCTTTGCCAAGAGAGTTTTGCCAAGAGAATGCACTGGTCATAGCAAACAACTTCCAACAACACAAGAGAAGACTCTACACATGGACGTCACCAGATGGTCAATACTGAAACCAGATAGATTATATTCTTTGCAGCCAAAGATGGAGAAGCTCTATAGAGCTCTATCCAGTTTTGTTTTAGCAAAAACAAAACTGGGAGCTGATTGTGGCTCAGATCATGAACTCTTTATTGCCAAATTCAGATTAAATTGAAGAAAGGAGGGAAAACCACTAGACCATTCAGGTATGACCTAAACCAAATCCCTTATGATTATACAGTGGAAGTGAGAAATAGATTTAAGGGATTAGATTTGATATAGTACCTGAAGAATTATGGACGGAGGTTCATGACATTGTACAGAAGGCAATGATCAAGATCATCCACAAGAAAAAGAAACGCAAAAGGGCAAAATGGTTGTCTGAGGAGGCCTTACAAATAGCTGAGAAAAGAAGAGAAGTGAAAGGCAAAGGCAAAAAGGAAAGATATACCCATTTGAATGCAGAATTCCAAAGAATAGCGAGGAAAGCTAAGAAAGCCTTCCTCAGTGATCAATGCAAAGAAATAGAGGAAAACAACAGAATGGAAAAGACTACTGGTCTCTTGAAGAAAATTACAGATACCAAGGAAACATTTTATGTGAAGGTGGGCACAATAAACAACAGAAATGGTATGGACCTAACAGAAGCAGAAGATATTAAGAAGAGGTGGTAAGAATACACAGAACTATACAAAAAAGATCTTCACAACCCAGATGATCACGATGGTGTGATTACTCACCTAGAGCCAGACATCCTGGAATGTGAAGTCAAGCGGGCTTTAGGAAGCATCACTCTGAACAAAGCTAGTGGAGGTGACGGAATTCCAGTTGAGCTTTTTCAAATCCTCAAAGATGATGCTGTGAAAGTGCTGTACTCAACATGCCAGCAAATTTGGAAAACTCAGCAGGGGCCACAGGACTAGAAAAGGTCTGTTTTCATTCCAATCCCAAAGAAAGGCAATGCCAAAGAATGTTCAAACTACTGCACAGTTGCACTCATCTCACACGCTAGCAAAGTAGTGCTCAAAATTCTCCAAGCCAGGCTTCAACAGTATGTGAACCATGAACTTCCAGATGTTCAAGCTGGATTTAGAAAAGGCAGAGGAACCAGAGATCAAACTGCCAACATCTGCTGGATCATCGAAAAAGCAAGAGAGTTCCAGAAAAACATCTACTTCTGCTTTATTGACTATGCCAAAGTCTTTCATTGTGTGGATCACAATAAACTGTGGAAAATTCTGAAAGAGATGGGAATACCAGACCACCTGACCTGCCTTCTGAGAAATCTGTATGCAGGTCAAGAAGCAACAGTTAGAACTGGACATGGAACAACAGACTGGTTCCAAATTGGGAAAGGAGTACATCAAGGCTGTATATTGTCACCCTGCTTATTTAACTTATATGCAGAGTACATCATGAGAAACACTGGGCTGGAAGAAGCACAAGCTGGCATCAAGATTTCTGGGAGAAATATCAATAACCTCAGATACGCAGATGACACCACCCTAATGACAGAAAGCAAAGAACTAAAAAGCCTCTTGATGAAAGTGAAAGGGGAGAGTGAAAAAGTTGGCTTAAAACTCAACATTCAGAAAACTAAGATCATGGCATCTGGTCCCATCACTTCATGGCAAACAGATGGGGAAACAATGGGAACAGTGACAGACTTTATTTTTGGGGGCTCCAAAATCACTGCAGATGGTGAGTGCAGCCATGAATTCAAAAGATGCTTACTCCTTGGAAGGAAAGTTATGACCAACCTAGACAGCATATTAAAAAGCAGAGACATTACTTTCTCAACAAAGGTTTGTCTAGTCAAAGTTATGGTTTTCCAGTAGTCATGTATGCATTGTGAGAGTTGGACTTAAGGAAATCTGAGCCCCCAAGAATTGATGCTTTTGAACTGTGGTGTTGGAGAAGATTCTTGAGAGTCCCTTGGACTGTAAGGAGATCCAACCACTCCATCCTAAAGGAAATCAGTCCAGAATATTCATGGAAAGGACTGATGCTGAAGCTAAAACTCCAATACTTTGGCCACCTGATACAAAGAACTGACTCCTTGTAAAAGACCCTGATGCTGGGAAAGATTGACGGCAGGAAGAGAAGGGGACGGCAGAGAATGAGAGATGGTTGGATGGCATCATCGACTCAATGGATGTTGAGTTTGAGCAAGTTCCAGGAGTCGGTGATGGACAGCAAAGCCTGGCGTGGTGCAGTCCATGGGGTCACAAAGAGTTAGACACGACTGAGCAACTGAACTGAACTGACTGAATACTGAAGTGCCAGAATTTTGTTTACAACCTTGTTCTAATGAGTTATCATCTCAGCAATCAATGAAAAGATGCCCTAAGTC